TCTTGTTCTACTTTTCTCTCTACTCTTCCACTTCATTTTGCAATCTTCTTCATAGGTACAATCAACACGTTATTATACAACAATCCCGGTAGAATGGACTAAGAAAACCTTAAAATCAATTATTTGATTATTTTGCAATCTTCTTCGTTGTATATTTAAAGCCTTTGTTCTGATTATAGGGTCATACTGTTGCTAGAAGGTCCAACCAATGTGAATTGGGTGGTGACCAAAAGCTTAACAATTAAGCTTGGTAGAGGATGTGAATAGTCAATAATAAATTATGATTAATGGCTCCATTGATGGTCACTTAGTGGGAGATTCAAGAGGGCAAATGAAAAGACAAATAGTTGGCTTTGTAAAGCCTATATAAAGGCCATGGATTTGGTTATCTAGAGAGAGACCTGAGAGAGTTCAAGAAGTAGAAAAAAGGAGATGAGAGAAAAATTGTATGAGATATACATATGTGAGAAAATTAGCCGAGTAAAAGTTGGTGAATTTCGTAGAAATTTTTGTGCCTCGGGTATGTTATTTTCTCTTGTTATTGTGTTGCCTCTAATCGTTGAATTAGAGAAGTCTCATCTGTTGTACCCATTATCTATATAGTGGAAGTTTTACTAGCTTGTGCCCGTGGTTTTTTACTCTTTGCCTTGAGGAGGTTTTTCCACGTTAAAAATCTTGGTGTTTTTGGTGTGTTTTTGGTGTTAGGTTGTTTATTTATTTTTATTGAGCTAATTATATATATTATTGTGAGCTTTCTTCCCAACACATACATAATCAAACATCAATATCAGTAATCATTCCAATTCCATCCTACTACCAAACATGTATAATACATTCGCCAATACGCATTTCAATTACCAAGTATTTAATTTCCATTCCAATTTCAATTCTCATGTTGTAACCAAAAACACCCTTAATGATTTCATTTGCATTCTTATCAAAACGTTAGTTAATTAGTTATTAATTAATGCACTTTGGCAAAACTTTAATTTAGTAGGAATAGAAACACTTTTGATTATCAAAAAAAAAAAAAAAAAAAAAGCACTTTTGAAACTATACTGTACTATTCTGGATTTCTGATCTGTATAACATGGTCTGGTATGGTAGGGTTTACAGGATTTTGATATGGTTTGGACTCTGTAAGCGCGTGGCCGCAATTGGTTTTCTTTTGACTACACGCATGTGCATGAATTCATATTTTGATAATAACTTGAGATATATTATATTCTAGAAATTCCTAATAAAAGAAGAATGATATAATATATGGTCTCCTAAGGTGTGATAGACACTTTTTTTTTTTTTTTTACAAGATATAATTCATTATATTGATACTATAAGAAGAAAAAGGGTTGATAGTAGCTGATTCTACCAAATAACATATATAATTGTATATTTGTATCTGAACAAAAAGTGTTAAAATTATCAAATTTATTATTGTGTATCTGAAAATTCATGTGTACCTTAAGAATTAATTTGTTTTGTTTCATGCCTTAGCAACTACATCAGATGCTATTATATAGTTCTAATGGCTTGGTAATTACAATGTTCTAACTTCTGAACAAAGCTCGACTTTTCGTCTGAGCTGTGTATTGGTTTTTTTATTTGAGTTAGATATAGCCAATTTACTACTTTGGGATCCTTTACCGATAAATGATCACAATGCAAAGAGTAGCCATCAGGGAAGGCAGTGTCGAAGAGAGTTATCTAAGATTGTAAAGGTATGATGCTGTGATTAGCCTACCGCTGAGCTTTGGACCATTTTCTATGGCCTCCAATTGAATTGAAATAGAAGATTCACAGCAATGGAAGTTAATTGCTATCAAAAAATAACGAATAGAGGGCCACAATAGACCCATATTTTTAGATTATGAAGTTATTAGTTTAGATGTTTATTGAATAGAGATTAGAGCACATTCAATTTATAGAGAAGTTAATTTGTGTATCAAATGAATTTTAAATTTTCAATCTTTACAAATCGGTTTATTTTATGAGATTGATGGTACATACTCATCCCCTCCTTGGCCAATTGTTATTGTAATACCCCGTGTTACGCCCTTCAAATCCGGATTAATTATAGAATCAGTCCCGTAAATAAAGGGATTTAATTTGGTTAGGATTCCCCCAATTAATTAGTGCGGTCCACCATGGATCGTGGACCCTCGTTGTATTAAAGATTTTAAGTTGGATAAGAACAAGGAATGTACACCTTCTACCATTCAGATTCTAACTACGATTTATTGACTCTATAAATAGGGGATTAGAACGCAATTAGAACCCTCTCACCTCCCACAACTCCTATACACGAATTGCCCTAGAAACTAAGCAAAAGGGATCCCCGCCACCGAGCCTAGGAAGATCAATTGAAGGAGAATCTTAGAGAAGGACCTTAGTAGCCAAGGAAAATTGATTAAGGCTAAAAGGTAACCCATGTCTTACAAAACCTATTTTCCTTGCTATATCTTGATTATTGGCTCTTTTGATAATTGTGTGTGTGTTTCTGCAATTGAGTCCTGATAGAGCTTTACCTAGGGTTTATGTTGTGCTTATTTGGTAAGCTCGACGATCTTGATGTTGGTGATTGATTATATGTGTGATCTTGCGTTTAGGCATGTCTAGAGCTTGTTATTAGGGCTTATTTGATGAGATCTTGATGTCCTTGTGATCCTTGTTGTTCTTGCATGTTTAGGAATTGATTCTTGAATCTTGATATGTTAGGAGCATGGATTTAGGATTTGTTTGTGTTAGTTTCTTGGCTTAATTCTTGTGGTTCAAGTCCATATTGTTGTTGTTGTGTATTGGGATGTATTTGGATTTGGTTTTGGGTGTAATTGAGGAATTCCCGAGTTGGGGAAAATGCCAAGTTACCATCGTACCAGTGGGTGGTCGGTGGGGGACGAACCCCCACCTGACCACCCGCCAGTACACGTTCTTGTACCAGCGGGCGATCGGCGGGTGGTTGATCACCCGCCGTTACCCGTTGGTACATAGTCGCCCACCGCCGGGTGGTTGACCACCCGCCATACACCCGCTGGAACGCGGCGGCGCGTTGTGACGTTTTCCCCGTTTGTTGTTTCCCCGTACCCCGTTGTGTCCCGTTTAATGTTTACGAGTCTCGTTTGATATTTCGGGTACCGTTTTAAGAGTTATGAGATGTGATTATTGCATGTGGTTAAATTGGTATCCCGTTGGCCTAGGATGAGATTTGTATGATCCCGTGTGTGCCTTGTGGTTGTCCCATTATCTTGGGAAGTAGAGTTTAGGCTGTGTCTTGTGGGTTGCGTGTTTATGTTGCTGTCATTTGTTCATGGAATTCTATGTGGTTTATTGTGCCCTTCCCTTTGACTACCCCTTTACTATGTGTTGGTGTGTATTGATTGTTGTTGTTATTGAACGGTGGCCACTGTTGTTGTTGTGTGTGTTGATTGTTGTGGATGATTGTACATGATGAGGAAGAGATGTGATTGGTGGAAAATATTGTTGGAGGTTGACACAACGAGTGCCCGGTTATTGTGCTAAAGGCACAAACCATTCGGTTATCATGTTGAAGGCACGAACCACCTTGATTAGTTTGCTAAAGCCATAAATAAAATTATAAGCGTTGCGGTGTCATGTCTTCGTGCTATAGGCAAGACCCCTTTATTATAGTGCTATAGGCACGGATCATGTGTTAATGGTACTGCGGTGCTATCAGATCGGTGGTTATGTTGGAGGGGAGCCATGAAGTGCTCCGAAGGGATAGGGGGGGGGGGGGGGGGCGTTATAAGGGTGGCCTTGAGGTACATGTTGGAACTGATATAAGGATGGAGAGGAGTAAAGGTTGGAACTTGGTATAAGGCTGGACTGTGATACGATTGTTGTTGCTGCCCTTGCTTGTCATTGTGCCTTATTATTGTTATTGTTTGTTATTGCTGAGCTTTGTGATTATCTTATCATGCGAGTTAGGACGCATGCTAGTACTTTCATGATGATTCGTAATATTAAACCTGTCGTTGCATCTTGAGTCTTGATTTTGGTTTTAAAGCTAGAGTTTGTTTAGGATTATATATGTATTCCGATCTCAAAATGGTTTTCTTATATTTACCTATATTGTACTTAACGCGTGGGAGTGGGTTACCAGCATTATTCGCTGACGGTTGTTACACCGTATGCTTTTCAGGTACAGATCAGTAACTTCGGAGTGCGCTAGATGGACACACGGACCTAGCTTTGATAGTTTAGTATTCGTTAGTTGGTCTGCGTGCCCTGGTTTGTACTCGATTATGGATTTATGGATTTATGCTTTGTTTAGTTAATTTAGCCTGTGCATCTAAGTTCTCCACCTTAGATTTGGCATAGCATCCCGACTCTTATGCTTAGCTTATGCTCTGTTTGGGAATTAATGTTAGATTCGTCTTTGTTTCGTAAGCTCTAAATGTTTTAAAAATTAGGGGTGCTACAGTTATACCATAGACCATGGTTCATATTGCATTGTGAATCCTGATACAAAAATTATGTACCTTCAGTTAACATATTATATACCTATAGGCTACAGTTAACAGTTTCTGTACATGTAAACAAATAACTTGGTAATTGCTGATACGATTGAGGAAATAAACTTGCATAAAATGTTTATTGTATTTACTGAAGAACATACACAATGCTTATATACACATAGGCTAGCACATTATTAGCAAATAACCTAAGGAATAGGGCCAACATGCAGCCATGCAGGAGAAACTAATTGCCTAATACACCCCCCTCAAGCGGACGGTGGACATGGAACAACGCCAAGCTTGAAATGAAGGTCATCGAACCGAGAGGCAGATAGAGATTTGGTGAAGATATCTCGCATGGTCACAAAGCTAACTTTAAGGGACCCAGTGTAGACCTTGTCACGGGCGAAGTGGTAATCGACTTCGACATGCTTAGTCCTTGCATGAAACACTGGGTTCGAACAGAGATAGGTTGTCCCAAGGTTGTCGCACCAGAGGACCGGCGTGGTGGTACAATGTAAGCCAAGGTCAAGGAGAAGAGATTGAACCCATACGACCTCTACAGAAACATCGAACAAGTGCTTTATACTCAGCTTCGGTTGAGGAACGGGCCAGAGTTTGTTGCTTCCTAGAGGACCATGAGATCAGATTGGGACCAAAAAACACTGCATAGCCAGCAGTAAACTTACGGTCAAAAGAGCAATCGACCCAATTGGAGCCGGAGAAGGCAGGGACAACTGGTGATGACGAAGTTGTTAGGCGAAGGCCTGGGTGAAGAGTGCCCTTGACAAATCGCAATACACGTTTAAATGTAGCCCAATTGTTTTGCGTCGGGTTATACATGAATTGGCACAGCTGGTTGACAGCAAATGACAAGTCTGGACGAGTCATAAGCGAGCCAACCAGTTGACGATAACCCGTGGGATTATCCAAAGGCGGTGAGTCTTCAGAAGTGTTTGCCGTTGTAGACGTCATCGGCGTGGCAAGCAGTTTGCAGGAGTCCATTCCTGCTTTGCGGTGTAGTTCAGTCATGTAACGCTGTTGAGTTAAAACAACGACATCGGCGGTGTAGACAGCTTAACGCCGAGAAAGAAGCGGGGCTTTCCTAGATCACAGATTTTGAACGTTGAACAAGTTGAGTCAGCATAGACTCCACCTGTGTGGCATCATTCCCAGTATAAGTATGTCATCGAAATACACGAGAATATAGACGCCGACCTGCCCAGAATTGTAAATAAACAGGGAGACGTCCATTTTTTACGGATGAAACCCAATTTGAACCAAAAAATTCTAAAGTCTCGTGAACCAAGCGCGAGGGGCCTGTTTGAGGCCATATAACGATCGCTGAAGCTTGTAGACATGGTTGGGGTAGGCAGGATTGACATAGCCCGGGGGTTGCCGCATGTAGATGTCTTCCGAAATGTGTCCATTTAGGAACGCATTATGGACATCCAATTGCCTCATGCTCCACTTGTTAGAGACGGCATAGGCTAATAAGAGACGGATTGTAGCCGGTTTAACCATAGGGCTATATGTCTCAAGGTAGTCAATGCCTGGAATCTGGTTGAACCCTTTGGCAACCAGACGGGCTTTGTGCCGTCGATGGAGCCATCGGACTTTCGCTTAATACAATATACCCATTTGCTACCTATTACATTCATTGTATACACAAATGGAACTAATGACCAAGTATTGTTTTGCAGGAGGGCAATGAACTCAGCGTCCATAGCATTTCGCCATTGCGGACACTTCACGACCTGAGAATGGCACGTTGGCTCATCGTCGTCGACGGAAGCGACCAAGGCACGAGGTGGGCGTCGTTGCTGATGAGTAGTCATGCGTAATGCATGCCATGGGTCCGTACTGGGGAGCATTTCCTCGGTGTTCTCGTTGTTGCGGTCGAAGAGGTGGACGGCTGAAACGAGGAGGACTCATTTCCAGCAGTTGACGAAGATTGCATGGGGTGCATGGTTGTACCACCACTCCCCATTGGCATAATCGGTGGTCATTGAGGCGCCACTGGCGGTGGGCGGGAGCACCGGAGATGGCGAGTTGATGGATTTGGGCGCTCGCCCAAAGTAATGCGTTAGCACCGGCGGAATAGCTTACGGAAAAATCACCAGCATCTTGAAACAGGAAAACATCCTCGTTGAATTTGACATGCCTGGCGATGTATATTCTTCCAGTAGCGCTGTCCAAGCACCTGTAACCACTAAAAGATTCGGGGTAACCCAAGAATACACAAGAAACCGACCTATAATCCATCTTATGGTTGTTATAAGGCCTTAGATATGAGAAACACTCTCACCCAAATACACGTAACATTTTGTAATTTGGTAACTTATGAAAAAGACGGGAATATGGACTGTTATTTTGTAAGATTGCGGTCGGCATTCGATTGATTAGATAAACTGCCGCCTCGAAGGCAAAAGACTAATATTTTTTTGGAGCATGACTATGAGCTAACAAAGTCAAGCCCGTTTCCACAACATGGCGATGCCTTCGTTCAACTAGGCCATTTTGTTTATATGTGTGCGGGCATGACTGTCTGTGTAAAATGCCTGCGGTAGTGGATACAGAATGTAATTTTTTATATTCACCGCCCAGGTCTGACTGAACGCTTTTAATAGAAGTGGAGAAATAATTTTCAACAAATGCACGAAACTGAGTAAAAATGGAATAAATATCTGTTTTGTTTTTCATTGGATAATACCAAATTTACCTCGAGTAATCGTCAACAAATAGGACGAAATATTTAAAGCCGTCAACAGAGGTGACCGAGGAAGGTCCCCAGATGTTGGTATAAATTAAATCAAGGACATATTGGCTAGAATGATTTATTTGTGACAATGGGAAGCGCGCAGACTTGCCCATTTGACACGAAGTACATATATTATTAATTGAACGCAACGAACCACTGACTGGACACCTAGACAAAACCTGACTGAGAACCCGGAGTGTGGGTGACCGAGGCGTTTATGCCAGACTTGCGGGGATGATTTATCATATAGTAGGGCAACCAGAGCTGGGGGTACTGAGCGAATACATCCCTCCTATGTTGGGACCTTTAAGAAGTGTTTGGTTGTTGACACAATCATTCACAAGAAAATGAGACGAATGAAATTCGAAATAAACGTTATTGCCTTGTGTAAACTTATGCACAAACAATAAGTTAGCTTGTAATCTAGGAATGTATAGTATTTTAGTAAGTAATAGCGACTGAAACGGGGTAGAAATTGACACGGAACCTGTATGAAGGATAGACAAACTTGAGCCATCCCCGACTCTCACACTTTCGTTGCCCGTATAAGGCTCGGTGTCATGTAAGACTGAGGCATTCGGCGTAGCATGGGCGTTGGTCCCCGTGTCTGGAGCCAAACATTGGAAAATGGTGCGGTGTTGAAATCGTCCTGTGGCTAGTGATATGCGACATTAGCATGGGGCGCGGGAACACAATTTGCCGGCTGCGACGATGTACGCTGACCGGAAACATCCACATAGTGTTGTAGCATGTTAATGTCGTGTGGCCGGCAATGTCACAAATTTGACACCTGACTCCTCCACGACCCTGTTGCCCTCTGCCCGCTGCCCTCTGTGATTCCGTCCCTGACCTTGAGCGCCATTAGGAGGGCGGTACGCCGGTGGCTACTGAGCCACTAGAGCAATCGGCGTGAGGGGCATCGAAGACACTGCCTCGTCTGGAAATAAGTAATGGTGAGTAAAAAGAAGATCGGCGACCTCCGGTATTATTAAGGGATCGGTCTTCGTGGTCAGTGAAGCGACAAGAGCACGGTAATTTGGTCGCAGATCTCTAAACACATGTAGATTTCGCTCGTCAAAACGAATCGGACGGACGGCCTGTGTAAGCTGTTCAATGAGAACTTGTGCGTGACCAAAGTATTCAGATAGAGTGAAATCACCCTGGCGGAGATTATGAAGCTGTGACAGGAGGCTCAGTGACCTTGCTTGCGAAGAAGGCCCGAGCCCAGTTTCTTACGCCACCCATACCGAACGCGAGGTAGTATGACCAATCGCAAGGTAGAGAGTCTCCTCAGCAGGGGAAGAGATCAACATGCTCAGGATGGATTGATCCTGCTAAATCCATTGAGCATGAAAAGGATTGGCTGCCGGAGGCGCATCGGAGGTGGACGCAGCAACAAACCATACAGGTTTTAGCCACGTAGAAAAGGAACCAGTTGCGCTCTCCAAAACAAATAGTTTGTGGCGGTCAACTTTATGGACACATAATGGTGAGCTTGATGAAGCATATTGAGAGGAAGTCGTCGGTGAGTCAGTAACGGCGGGTGGGGAGGGGTTGTTCTGATTGTTGGCCATAGGATCAGAGAAGCTAGACGGATACCAGATTGAGGAAATAAACTTGCATAAAATTTTTATTGTATTTACTGAAGAACATACACAGTGCTTATATACACATAGTCTAGCACATTATTAGGAAATAACCTAAGGAATATGGCTAACATGCAGGAGAAACTAACTGCCTAATAAACACATAATATGATAGCTACAGATACAGAAACTATCAACTGTAGGTACAGAATGTGTCAACTATAGATACAGAATCTAACTTGATAATTGCTGACACATAATATGAAACTATCAATTGCAGGTATAGAATGTGTCAACTATAGATACAGAATTTGAATGTTATTTTTTGGACTAGGGTCTACAATGCAAGATAGACCATGGTCCATGGTATAATTTGCCCTCCTTAGTGTGGATTGTGTGTGCATGAGGAGATCTCATTTTATATAGTTGCTTTTAGTTTTGTTGATTTCCCTTTTATCTAAAAGCAATCTATTCTGAATGGGTGCTCAGAAGATCGAACCCCGATGGTGAGGTCATTGATTCTTTAGGGTGAAAAGATTGAAAAAGTTTAGAATAAATACTACCGTGTAAAGAATATATCATGAGTGTTTAAAAACAAAATACCAAATCTATTTCTAAAATACAATAATAATTACAAAAGTATTATAATAATATATAGTGGACAAAAACCCGTGTGAAACCGTCTCACGAATCTTTGTCCGTGAGACGAGTGGGTCAATATGAAAATTTAGTAATTATATTGAAAAATGCAATACATACTAATAAGGAATAAAGTGTTTATTAATTATATGGTCACGGACATTAAGCACACAACGCACGCACCTTAAGCGCAAACCTCACGCACCTTAAGTACAAAACTCACACACATTAAGTTTCACACAACTACTCACATTAAGCACTAACCACACGCACCTTAAGCACAACCCCCACACACCTTAAGCACAAACCACACGCACCTTAAGCACAAACTACACGCACATTAAGCACAAAGCTCACGCACATTAAACCCAAACCCAAGCACCTTAAATTTACCTAGATGCAAAAATTACCAAATTGCTACCGCATTTTTTTTTTTGGTAATCTTGGACGTTGATTTAAGCAAGATCATTGGCTCATATTTAACCGCACAACCGCACCTGGGGCTGCCTATATATATATATATATATATATATATATATATATATATATATATATATATATATATATATATATATATAATGTGTGTGTGTGTGGTGGTGGTGGGGGGATCCATCTCCACTAGAACTATGTCTCAGGTGAGAAATGTGTGTGTGTGTGTGGTGGTGGTGGGGGGATCCATCTCCACTAGAACTATGTCTCAGGTGAGAAATGTGGTCTAATATGGGCCATTGAAATTAGACAATTCACGATTGTGATCAAATCATTCTAATCTACTAATTGGCATTGATTAAGTGATATATTAATAAGGGAAATTGCTCCGAAGGGCAATTTGATCACCACGTTAGCATCAATCCAGTAAGGACCATGGCCACCCTAGAAGGAGTGAACCAAGGGACTAAGCTAACCCCCCCTCGCTACCAGACCTTTTTTTTACGTAACCCATGGGGTACTATCTTTGACCACGCAGAGAATATGGGAATCGTACAGTACCCATGTGACTGCTTGAAAACCTCCTCCAAAGTATACTCGAAAATGTATTGTCAATT